AGGCATAATAAATCAATTCCAAAAATTGAATACTTGATAAACTAAGGATATATGACAAACATTTATGTTTCTAAAGAAAAAAGAAACATAATTATAGTAAGATTATAAAAGGCCCGTTTATAGGATATGATAAATTATCTAAGGCATATAAGATCTATCTACCAATTTCATAAAAAATTATTGTAACTTGTAACATTATCTTTGATAAATCTATTCTCAAACTAAAATGGTTTTGAACCTCAAAGACTTTTGGAACTATTTCTAAAAGCACATAATTATTAATTTATAAAAAGACATCTAATTTTTCTCTAATTAAATATATTGATTTAGTTCTTATCATAATTAGTGGAAAAAAAGATATTAGTATGAAACAAGAAATAGGTATAATGAGATAAGCAAATGAGAATGAATCTATAGATATTATAATAAAGTCACCTCAAGATTGTAAGTAATTCAATAGTAAACCAAGGATTTTAGTCGAATGTTTCTTTGGAAGCACAAAAATCACTATATTTGAATTTGTACCTTTGCATGCTTCCATATTATTTCCAATATATTTTCAATCCTATCTAGTTTATAAAATCTAATATCTAAGAAGAATTCAAGTCCTACTTAGAGACTACTATGTCAATATAATTGACATAATTGATATAAAATCAAGCACATATTAAGTTGATATTTAAGATCTTAATTGAATATTAACTGAAAAATAAGAAAAGGATTTTTTTCTTAAGATGAAAACTTAAAAATATGTATTATTATCTCTAAGACACACTCTTATATTTGCCAAATGGATTTTTAAAACTAAATTCAATAATAATGGTCAAAAATAAAATAATAAATTATGATTAGTTGTTCAATAAAAATAAATTTAAAAAATGATTATTACAACTTATGCATTAGTTGTCAAATAGAAGAATATAAAGATATTTTTATATTTATAACTTTAAAAGACTTAAAAATTTATCACCTTGATGTAAAGATAAATTTTTTAAATAGAGACCTAGACAAAAAAATTTACATAATAATTTCAAATAGTTTTTTATCTCCCAAAAATTGTGGCATGGTATATCTTCTCTTCAAAGCCTTCTATAGATTAAGACAAGCTTTGAGGTCTTAGTATAACAAAATAGATGGAATATTAGATATTTTAAAATTAATTAATAGCTCAACAAATTACAACATGTATGTCTTAAAACAAAATAGAAATTTTTTTATATTTCTACTATATATTGATGATCTATTTATTCGTGATGGTAATGGTAAAATTCAATAGATCTAGTTTAAATTCATGGATGAGTTTGAAATATCAAATTTATGATATATAGAAGTATATTCACAAGTAAAAATCCTTAGGAAAAAAAAAGATGGACAATGGATGCATCAATGAAGATGTATTATTTAAATATTAGAAAGATTTGGCATAAACAATTGAAAATCTTCAAACATTTGTATAAATCTAAGAATAATACTTTTAGCTAATATGAATTCACTTGATTATGACACTTATGAGTATCAAGCCTTAGTTAGAGGCCTTTCTTAGATTACAATAACTTTATATAAAATTAAATTTATAATAGGTTATTATTCCAAATTTGTTGCTATTCCTTAACAAGTATATCTAAACATAATAAAACATATCTTAAATTACTTAAAAGCTACATTAAATCATAATATTTTATTTTTTAAATACAAAATTTTAGATCTTATTATTTTTATAGATGAAAATTATAAGAGAGATAAAAATATTAGACACTCAATAAGTAATATTGTATATAAAAATTGGAATTGTTGCCATTGGTACTTCAAAAAAATTATAGTCTATTGTGTCATAATCTACTGCTAAGACTAAATATAAAGTCATTAATTATGCTATAATCAATATTAAGTATTTATATAGAATAATATAAAAATTGGATATTTCAACCAAGCAACCTATCAAGATCTTCAATAATAATCAATTAAGTATAAATATGATTTACAATATAATTATGCATAAAAATACAAAGCAAATTGATATTTATTATTACTTTGTTGAAAAACTACAAGCAAAATGATACACTAATATTTAATATATTTTAATACATGACTAAGTAACAAATATCTTAATCAATTTTTTAGGATTTTATAAACTAGCTAAATTGAGAAAAATACTAAACATCTTGATTTTGCCCACTACAAGTTGACTATTTCTTAATAAAAGTTCTTAGCTTCTACTGAATTCAAAAGAAATTATTGAATCTATAATAATATTATAGTAATAAAAGAAAAAAAATCCAAGAAAGAATATTTTTATTATATATAGTATTTTTAAAGGATTAGAATGTGTACTCTTGATTCTCTCTACAATATCAATTTGATCAACAATAACAATACTAAAAAGTGTTACTTTGGCTCAAACTTTTAGCCAATGATCTGAAGATTATATTACTTATTACATGGAATGTTATAATCATCAATTAAAAATTATAGTCATTAAGTGCAATGCAATGTGATTGTAGGAAGTAACTTAATCGAGAAACCATGTGGACTCATCAACTTCTTTAATTTAATGATGGTCACTCACTTTTTTATTCACCCACTTCATTCTTTTTTGTTTTACAATGTTTTTACTTTTTTATTCATTTTGTACATTAATTTTGTTGTTCTTATTTGAATCTTACATTTTAATTGCATGTTTAAGGTTTTTGTGGATTATGCAAAGATTTTGTGGTGATTTTGGTATTGAAAGATAGTTTTCTTTAATGCTACTCTACTTATAGAAATGGATGCAAACGGAGCTTGATGAGCTTTATCTTTGTTGATGAAAAGATATGAAGGTGATTCTCTTTTGAACTTTCTTTGTTTGTAATGAAGACTTTTGGATGCTTGTGCCATTTATCATTTGCTATTTTTTTCATGAATTGCATTTGATACCAAAATCAGTGTATATATACATTGTTTTCATAAATATAAAGCTATATTTATATTCAATTTTTATCATTTTTTTTGTATTTTTTGAATATATATAATTATCAATTTTGGAAATACATCTATATTATTTATAATTGTATTTTTATTTTAAAATAGCACAATAAATAATTATATATTTTTAAAATTTATATTTTTTCTTAATATATTTTAAAGTTTTTTATTACAAAAAAAATTGTAATTTATATTCAATGCCATATTAGTTCAATTAATAGATCGTCCAAAGTGAAAAAAATTAGTTTGGATGTTTTTGTCTTTTTAAAAGCCTTACAATCATTTATTTATAATAAATGTGTATCCATAGATATTTTTTAAATACATATATTAGAAGTTGATAAGATATAATTATTAATAAAAATGGAGTTATTTCTATTTCTTCTATCTAATTGTTATATATTAGTTGATGGTTGCAATATGAATCTAAGTTATTTTTTTTTACTGATCTTTCCAACTTCATTAATTGCTTCTAAAAGTATACTATAAAATTATGTATTATATATTTCTAAGGCTTTTACCAAATTTTTAAAAAGTAATATTATTATATTTTTTTTAAATGCTATCTCACAAATTAAGTGAAAAATATTTATTTCTTTTAAAAAAATATAAAATATTTAATTTTAATTTTGTGTACTTGTCGTTTTTGTCATATTTTAATTTGTGTTTCTCTTATTTTTTTCTTTCTGTAGATGTAATATGTACATATTATGTCTTGAATTTTTAATATTGTTTTGAATAAATGTGTATTTTTACCTGAATAAGGCTGTAACTTCTTTGATATTTATATTTTAATAAATGGATCAAATATTTTTAAGTTATAATTATTTTATATTGAACTTTGATAATTGTATAATTCTTGTGTATATGGTATTAAAATATTGAACATTACGTGTTCTAAAACCTTTACTTAAAATTAAAGCTTGCATAACAAAACTTTCCAAAAAATAAATACAATCAAATGTGTTTACAGTTTTTGTAAAACACTATTTTATTTTTTTACATAGAATAATCGTGAAACGTGATAGACATAAGATTTGAAGATGTGGAAAGAGAAGATACATTCTTATTAAGTTATTTATTTATTTATTTATATTTTTATAACTAGTACATAATCATGTGGTCAAATCCTGAGTGACTGGCACCTAATCAGTTTTTAGAGCACAATAAGAAATAATGCATGGTTGAAAATTAAATTAACAAGCTTTTTTGAAGGATCCAAATTTTTTAATATATATATATATATATATATATATATAGTTTTTGTTTCTTTTCTAATAAATAACTAAAACAACATTATTTTCTAAAAAATGCTCTTCCTAAATCACCAAAAATACTTTGCATCACATGACAGCTCACATGCTTTCAATTTTCTTAAATTCCACACTGATATAACTTAACAGTGTGGGTTTATTTTATAGTTTTGGGAATACACATGAAAGAATCATTTTGCTTACCAATTGACAAAGTCATTTATCCAATTTGAAACATATAAAAATGAATAAATGGATAAAAAAGTAAAGATGACTACACAAATCATGGAGAGAGCATAACTTCGATGAATTCCATGATCAAAAACCATTTCATTCCTAATCAAAGAGGTTCATGACAAGAACGGGTGCTACAACCCAATGGTAGAAAATTTATGAAGCCGTTGGATGAAGGCGCACGTGTCGACAGCGCTGAAGATCCGAGCAGGAATGGGGCAGCAGCAGGAGCAGGAGGTTTGGGTGGGGCTGCCCGGGTGCCCGAGCGCGGGAAGCTGCCCCAGCCCTGCAGCCAGAGAGTGCCACATCGAAGGGGGGAAGTGGGAGATGAAGAAGAGTGAGAGTGGAACAGAGTGGGAGGGAAGGGGAAGAAGCGGAAGAAGGGGGAGTATGGGACTGAGTGTACGTATCTATACATAAATCTATACATATTTATACACATATAATCTCTCCTTTCTTTCTCTTTTTCTTTCTTCCCTCTAGTAGTGCGTGCGGGAGGCCATGCCCGCTCCCTCGTCCATGCTGCAGCACAGTGTACGATGTGCCAGGGTGCGGGCCCATTCTCACTTGCTCACTCACTCACTCACTGACCCATCCTCCTCGCCACCGCGCCATCGCGCCGTCGCTCCTCCTCCTGCGGCACCCGATCACCCTTACCTTCTCCGCCATTATCGCCGCCTTTTCCTGCGCATTTTGACCCTCGGATAGATTTCTTTGGCTCTTCCTGCCGTCCTCCCTCCCCCCTCCCCGTCTCCGATTTCCCCTTCCTGTTCTCCAGTTAGGGTTCGGTGTCTCATGGCTGGGTCGGATGACTCGATCTCACTCGGGCTGGACGTAGGACTGGCACAAGCCTCGTGGTAATGGCAGCACGCGGAGATCGCCGACGCGAATACCTGGAGTTGCGATTGCGGTGTTTCGGCTGCTAGGTTCGCCTTCAAGGTGAGTCTTCACTGGTTGTTTGGTTGAAGTGGATCTGGTTTAGAGTTTGGAGGGGCGAGGATGGTTAGGGGAGTTCGCTTCTTTGCTTGTGTTGTTGGTGTCCTTCGGTAGCAGCAGCAAATGAGGTTCTCACGTGTTTTTATTTTATTTTATATTTGTATTTGTATTATAAATAATATTTATTCTTCTGATAATTTGAGATGCGGAAGATGGACGGATGTTCACTGGTTAAGTTGATCCGACTAGCACCAACGCTTTCGGGTTTGGGGTTCTTGTTATCAGGGTTCATGGTCATTATATCTCAATTTCAATGTTTTGAGCTTGTCATCTGAATTTCTATAGGACGGCTCGTCGCATGTATATTACTTTTTTAAACCCTTTTGGATCAATCTTAGTCGATCGCTTCATCTGCAATTGTGCCTCTGTAATAGGGTATGAAATGTGGCATTTCTTCGTTCGTGAACTTCTGAAACTGCCTAGGTTAGTGCCGGTGGTGGAGTTATGGAGGTGGTTGTGGTCTCGTCTATTCTGATGCTGGAAAACTACAGGTCATTCGGTTTTAATCAACTGCGGCTTGGCCGTTTTCAATTTCTGGTACAATTTGTATGAGGTTCTTGTGAAGACTGGAAACGGGTGGGTGACTCGGTTGCTTGAGCGATGGAGGCACCTATCGGTGGTGGGCACACAGGAGGATTGCCACTCTCAGGACAGGCAGCTAGAAGGGAATGGAGAAAAGTATCTGAGATGCCTAACGGTCAGGGAAGAATAGGAACAGATGGTCCTGGAAACCAATCAAGAGCACAGCAATCTGGCCGGCTACGGTCTGGCAACGTGGGACAAAGGCGAAGCAGTCAAAATGGGAGGATGTTTCATCCTGGCAGTGGGGAACATTCCAGTGATTCCGATCTTCACGGTGGTGATGGCGGTGGAGGGCACTTGCTGGGCGGTCCTGTATCCCCGCATGAAATCATCAATCAGAATATTGGCCAACAAGAAGTGCTTTACGAAGAGGTTAGTGACTTTGTTCTGAAAACTGATCTGGAGGGAACCAAATGCACTTAGCTCGCATGTTTCCCTAACCATGGTCTTCTGAAATTGAGGGTGTTTTCTTGGTCAGTGTCTGTGGACTATGGATGTCTCTAACAACCAATGCCAGTCACATAGTTATTTGGGTGATATCTTAATTAACTTGGAACGAACAGGGCAGATTTAATCCTCCAGCTTTAATTGTTATGGGCGAGGATCTGAGTTTTTTTGTCTCTATATCTCATGGAAGGTTGAGATTAGTTTGGAAGGATTTGGAGGAACGTACTATGAAGTTACTCTTATGCTACTCTCAAGCAGTCTTTTTATTTTATTTTTGTAAATTGATAAATTATAATCATCACCGTCATTGTCGTCGTCTATTTTACATAACCAGGTCCAAGCTTCTCGCGCGACGGAAAGAAATTGGTGAAAATTCCATTGGTGAAGGGCATTTGTTGAGCTGAATTAGGAGCCAAAGTTTATCGCTGCACTCAGTTTTATGGATGATTGACCTGATTTTGATGGTCCAAATTTTCTGTTTCATGATGTCTACTGTATACCTTTCAGATGCATCGGCAGCAACAAAAGGAGCACGTCTCCATGAACACTATGTCAATGGAATCAGCACTGGGTGCAATGAACAATCCTGAGGATGCTCTTGAGCAGCAACTCCTTGATATTTCCAGGAAAAGAGAACAATTGCAGCAAGCTGAGTTGGAGCTCAGGGCGCAGTTTATCGCGCGATCTGAGGTGCACCGCATGCAGAGTAATTATGAAGAGCAGTCCAAGCAACACGCTGAAATTGTGGCAAGTCTCCAGGTATCATTTAGAGTAATACTATTCCTTCTCATGGGCGCCACTTAGCACATGACAGTGCTGTACACTGTCGCATCGGTTTGGTTCATGTCACGGATGTACACTCTATCTGCCATGAGGTTTTGTTAATGTGTATTGAAGGTTTTATTTCCTGTACATGGCATACACTGAACACATGCACCTACTGCATTTCATCCAGTAGAAAATGTCCAGTGGGGGACAACTGTCCGTAACTCGTTGTTATTTGCATGGATGATGCTGGGTGTTCATGCTGAATTTCTAGTGCAAACTGCAGAATGAAATTCATGAAAGAGATCAGAGAATACATCATCTAGAGCAGAATCTGGAAGAACGAGAACAACAACTCAGGGCGAACCAAATGCAAGCAAATGAAGCAGTGAGCCCGTTTTCCTGTACTCACAATGTGGCTTCTAAATTATATATTTCTACGTGTAGATTTTGTAGGCGACACTTTCTCTCTGTTTTGTGAACATGGACGTGCAATACGGTAATTTCATCTACTACTTGATGCTTTTTCCTGTATTTTTAATTGTATGTGCACAAGGACATTATAGTCATTGAAGGTGCTTTGTAGCCAGAAATGATTCACTGTTGATTACCCTTCAGCAGGTCTGGGCAAAGGATGGTCTTCTACGGGAGCAGACTAATGAGCTTGCTTCCCTGCGGTATGTAAATTAATGTCCTGTGGAAGCGCGACAAATCAATTTCTGTACTTAGTTCTATATCAGTTCATTGGTTTTCGTTTGACATTGAAAGTGGTTCTCTATATTGAAAGCACTTTCTTACTATGTAAACCCATGCATGCAGTCGAGAGCGTGATGCTTCTGTAGCAGAACAGAAAGCAGCACTTTCGCAGCTGGAGGAAGAAAGGTCAGACTATACTACACAAATTGAGCATCTCAAGGAGCAGTTGCATGAGAAGGAGCGACACAGACAGGAAGCTGAGGAGCAGGTAATTGTGGTCTTCCTTTTCATATGTATGTTGAGTTCTTATCAGTTTGTTATGTAGACTTGTTTAAGTAATGTGTTCAATTATTAAAATTGACATTTGAGTATTTTCTTCTCTGTTAAGAGGGTATTTGACGTTATTCTTTCTGTTTATTCGCTCTTATAACGGGTTTTGCTCTTTCGGTTATTGGCCGGTCTCTTGCAGAATCGTGCGACACAAGAGCTGCTCTTGTTCAAAGATGGCCAGCTGCAGGAAGCACAGGCTTGGATGGCCAGAGCCCAAGAGCTTGATGCTTATCATGTCAATGCTAATCAGACCCTGCATGCCGAGCTTCGGGATCGCAATGATCAGTTGAATCAAGTCTGGATGGGATACCAGAGACAGGTAGATGCTTTTAGAGGCGATATGTATTTCATATGAGTTATCCCTCACAGTTAAATGTCCTTCTATGAAGTATGTTTTCCTTTTGCTTGAAGCATGTTTGGAGTATTGAAGTTATTATGTCTGCAACTTTGAATCTTGGATGGAGTTGTAAGTTTTCATGGATTTTATCTTGTTTGTATTTTCTAATTTTTTTTTTTATTTCTGACTATGAGCTTTGGTGAGTCTTCAATTTTCATATGATTTAGAATTCTTATCTCAATATATGATGTATCTTTACCTGGCTTAATGCCAACCGTATCATTTTTCAGCTTGCAGACATGGAGAGATTCCATGCCCAGGTGGTGCAGCGGCTTCAAGCTGAGCTTAATGAGACCAGAGAACATGCTCAAATGCTGAAAGGCTCTGGTTCGGAACGTTTAGGAGCCAAAGAGGAACGGAAAATTCATTCTGGAAACCATATAGATTTTCTTCAGCGTGAGGGAAACGAAGAGACCGGAGCTAAAGTTCCAGTAGCGAATAATGCCGGAGTAGTACGCGGGAACCCGATAATTCTGTCACATGGAAGTATGGAGGCTAACGTACCTATATACATTCCACTCGATAACTCCATCAAGGTCAGCGAATCAGAACGGATCTTTTTGTACCTTTCCATTCCGAAGTCACATTACCGCTTCACATACGCGAAGAAAGTTCTTTTGGTTTCTCAAATCTAACACAGTTGCAAAAGATCAACACATTTGATAGGGTTTGTGAGTGTTGTACTTGGAGTTGGATCATGCTGAAACTCGTGTAGAGTGTTCCGACTTTGTTTGTTGCTCTCTCATTCGCAATTTCTTGTCAGACTTCCATGAAACTTGTGTTGAGATGGCCTAGTTTAGCTTATTGAGTCATTTACATATTATGCATTCCTCTTGTTCTGTTCTTCAGTTGGGAATGCTCAGAGTTCACCTGATCTGACATTTGGGGTAGCGGTTGTGCAGGGAGATCAAGCCACTGGGCACCCAGTTGTGCCGTCCCCTGCTGTGGTAGGTATAAGCCCTGTAATGTCTTCTGGAATACCAGTCATGCACCAGTATGGTCTCCAGCAACAACCTTTAACTTCCATGTCCCAGGCCTTACCTGTTCTTCAAACGTCTATCCCACAGCTGCATGCGCAGCCTCATGTATTATCTACGCCACATCATCCTCAGCAACAGGTGAGTATGAAGACATTTTATCCATATACTTCCCTCATGAGTCATGCTCGTCTATTTATGTGCCCTGCTGAATGTGTATTCTTTTCGTTACTTTTTCTTTTAGGACGATGTTTTCATCTCGTCAGTTAGAGGCTCATGTCATGGATATTTCTGTATCTGTGAAATCAAGCGCAAGTAGGTGGAGTTTCTGCGAGTTTTCTAATTGGTCCTGTATTTCTTACGTAGTAAATGGCGCTTGTGATTTATGCAAATAGTTTATTTGAATTTTTACTCAAATCTTGTGATTAACTAGGTCTACATTGAGCCTACTTTTCAGTGATTATTCGTGTTCCACGAAGACGTTTCAACATTATGATCTTTAAGGAGTTTTTTCTTTGGCAGGTCGGACGTGCACAACATCTTCCAAGTCCTCAAAAGCAACCACAAGTCACCCAAACGCTACACCTGGGCATTTCTTCTTCGTCCTTACCCAAGCCTGGCATGCAACCTAGTCAGCCACAGCAGCTAGTGCTAGACCATGAAGAAGGCCAGCAGCATGGTGGAATTTTGCTGTCTCAATTGTCCTCTAAACCTCAGACTCCTGCAGCTTCTGCGCAACCTATTGGACAGAAAGCTCAGCAAGAAGCCACAGTGACTGAGCCTGTGCAGTCATCACGTGAAGGCCAGAAACTTCCGCATTCCTCGCATGACCAGCAGCAAGTGGAGCTCTCTCTTCAGCACAATCGGCAATCCAACGCCCTGCCTGAACGTCAGGTTTGCATCTGCGATTTGGATATAGAACTGCATGCATATGATGTTTCAAACTTTCTTGCATGGTCATCTTTCTGGCATCAACCCATTCTCTCTCAGTATATGATGCTGCTGAATGCACAAAATTCGGTCAGAGAAGGCGTGATTTTTTTGTTGGAAAGCATCTGAAGTTATTTAGCGATATGGCTGCGACAAACTTTTGTGATGTTTCTTAGAAGTATAATTCTAAGTTGATACTCTATTGGAGTTCTTTGTACTCGCACGTTTGAAAGCAGTCTGTATCTCATTCAAGCACAAATTGCAGAGACAAGAACAGCTACAACATTCTTTAAGTCCTTCTCAAAGTATGCAAGAGCAACAAACAAAGTCATTCAAGCAGGTGCCAGTACAGCAGCATGATGAGACGCCTCAACTGCAGCATCAACAGGGCATCTCAAGTTCCATGCATCACCTCTCTCAACCTGCAGCACCAGTAGCAGAAAAAAATCAACTTCAACAGAAGCCGTCGCTGAGCAAGTCCATCATGGCCAAGCAGGAACCAAGAGAGCCTGGGGCAAACCCAGTGAATCTTGAACAAAATGTTGCTGAATCCATCAAAAATCCAGAGCCCGTTCTACTGGATGAAAGAGCGTTGCTTGCATGTCTAGTGCGTGCAGTACCTGCTGAAGCCAATGCCAAGATTAGTATGAAATCCACAGTAAGTGTTTACTATTACTGGGAGCTTTCATGCTATTTTTGGGGTCTGTGGGGTTGCAATTTTGGAGTATTCTGATGCTCGGATAATTAATTTCTTCTACTGGTGCACAACGCGTTTGGTGATGATTTAGCTAGAGTGACTAGCGAATTATGGTTGTTAGGTTAGTGGTCTTAGTATGTGGAAGCAGACCATTTACAGTCTCTGATAATTGTTTTGTGTGTACAGCTGCCGAACCGTCTTGGTAAAATGCTTGCCCCTCTTCATTGGCAATCGTACAGGAAGCAGTATGGTCGCCTCGACGAATTTGTGAGCTCACACAAAGAGGTACCACTTGATGCTCTCATACATTAACTAGAAACTCGTTAACGATTCATGCTGTTATCCTTCTGTATGGATTCTTCTTCAAAATTCTTCCAACCGTAACTTGTATCATGCGTGTGTATTGGATTGTGCAGCTTTTTGTCATTGAAGGTGATTACATCTATTTGAGAGAAGGAGCTCATGCTAAGGTTTCAGCTACTACTGCTGTTGCTAAAGCCGCTGCGGCAGCAGCAGCTGCTAGTCCTGCAGGCCTAGACCGTCCTCCTGTTGTTGCTGTTACTCCAGTAGCTCAAGTTGCCCAACTGCAGCGGGGGAAAGCTGCCAAAGCCCCAAATAAGGACGTCAGACCGCAATCTCAACAAGATGAACCAAACATTCTCACTCAAAGGTCGATTTCGCCCCAACAGTCTAAATCAGGGAACATCCGGCAGATCTCTGCATCCTTTGTCCCTAGAAATAGCGTGGGAACCGTAGTTGCTGCATCTAACAATGAAGGGAAACTGGACGGCATCGGTAATACCTCGGATGGAGAGTTTAGCTCGAACAATTTGCCAACTGGAAAGAACTCTGATGTTACGGATAATGGAGAGGCAAATGGCTTTGGAAATTCAAGAGTAGGCAATCATGGAAACAGACAGCAGAATAGGTTTGTAACTCTTCCTGCTTCTGTCCAATGTCTAATTTCACACATAGTCTCCTGTGTAGGTATTCTTTCTTCGATCCTTCTTGTCATAGTAAAATTCCGTGGCACCGTTGGTCTAATTTTAATTGATAGCAGTGTGTTGCATGATTCATTCCAACGCCGTTCAAAAAGTAAAGAGTATTTCTCTTCAGTCACAGTGTTCCTATTGCTTAAGCTGATGTTAGTTTTGTAACTTGCAGCCGAAACTCATATGCCGGATCAGGGCAATATAGAAAACAAGATAATCACTACAGGTCCCAGACACAAGATGGTCGGCCCACGCCAACCCCAACACAGTGAGGTATTTTGTTCTTCAATTTGTTTATTTGTATTTACACATCTCGTTCGCTGGTTTGTAGCATGTGTGAACGCAAGTGGTATGTAAGACACTTGTCATATTTTTATCTGACGCAATTAGGTGTGTCAAGTGAATTCCTTTTGGATCACATCATTCGGTGAAAACCGTTGTAATTATCAGTGCTGCCGTGCAAATGAAGTCAATGACTTCACCGTTTTTATGTCAGGCTTCCAGAAAGTGTCACAATGGGTCTGCTTTTCCATGCCCCTAGTTGTGAATTCTAGACGAGTTCTGGTAATTAAGATTTTTTGGTCACAAGTAGAGAATTCTGGTTTACAAAAAATTGTTTTGTGTACAATAATCTACATTTTTTTCACTTGTACCATGTTCTATAACCATGCAGAGTTGAAATTCGTCGCTGAAGCCTACGGGTCGTGACTTAAGGCTTTCGTAATGAACAGCAAGATGCTCTTCGTGTAACCGGATGCGCTCTCCACATTTTTTGACTCTACAAAATCTGACTCATTGTGCTACAGCACAGGCTTTTGTTCGCCAGTAGCAAGCTGGGTTTTTAAAAGTGAAAGGAAACACAGCTTCACTTGCTAATGCTGAAGGTTTTTTATTTGTGTTCACGCTTCTGAATCCGACTGTGAGACCCTTGTCTTAATACCCGTCAGATAGTTTTGATTTCAAGGTATTTTTGTTCTTTTCTAACAAGCGTAGTGAAAGGCTAGTTTTGTGGTCACGAAACTATTTTCTGGGGATTTTCAAAGAGTCCTGCGTTTGATGACATTGGAACCGTTTCTGGATTCAAAATTAAAGAACCAGATACTGTTTCGAATCCATCACAGGCACTGTATCATTTTCATCTCTGGTTACAAGAGATACTAGTGCATTTGTACCATCTGATGTGCTCAATATCTCCAGTTCCTTGTTGCATCATGATCCGTATCTGCACATTTGTTTAATCATAGCTTTCCTTGTGAGATTAAAGAACTACTTTTAGAATCAAGAACACAACTGCTGTCCGGTCAGCAAGTTTTGCAAAACTTGCTGCTATCCGTGATTATGAAACCTAAATCAACCATTTAATTCCTTAATATTCAAGTAACCAGCTCGTGGCACATTGGAAAGGGACTCCACCATGCAGCTAATAAAATATGTTAGATAAATGTGCATCTAATAAAATATGTTAGATAAATATGTCTCTAATTTATATTTATTGGTGTCAATGGTCGGGTCTCATAAACTAATTTAAGTAAAAGTCTCACTTGTCAATATTATTGGATTGAGTACATCTCTTGCAACAAGTGATATTACACCCGTAAATCTGGGTAATGTCATCATGCATTTTATTTTGATATCAAAAAATTATATTTTTGGCCAGAATAATGTTAATGCTGTGCCAAAAGTGATTGTTATTTTTCCTGTAAATAATTGATAATGCTATTGATTAATAAACAATGTATCTTAACAAAGTACTTTGGTAAAATGATTTATTTAGAGTGTTAAAAACTTTGATTGTAAATACTAATAACTAAATGCAAATATGATCAATTTCTTCAAAAATCATTTAAATGTGATGATTAATGAGTCTCGTACAAAAGTTTCTGTAGGAAGTTTTATGAAGATTTAGATTTTTTTTTATTTTTTTTATTTTTTTGAAGTTCTCAGTTAAAAGGTAAGAACAGATTAAAAATAAATCAAAGCAATCTTTAGTCATATCAAATTCATTTTTAATAATTTGATTTATTAGTTTGACATTATACCAAATATGTTTGTACTAATCAATTTTATTTACAATTTGATTAGTACAACACAAACTAGTTAAGAAATGTTTATTATGTAGCTAAGGAAAAAAAAAACAAACAAACAAACAAACATGAAGTATATTTCTTAGACATTAAGATATTAGAATAAGTTTTTGCTTGATACAAAATACTAAAGAGTCACAAACCAAGATTAAAATATATAAATTACCATTGGCAAGACTAATGATGGTCTTAGTCTTGTCACTATGTATACATACTTCCAAGAAGGTCATGCTGAAGCTTCTATAAATTTCAAAACTTGCAATTTGCAAGGTGTCCTTATTAATGGGATTCAAACTTAATGTTTTCAGGTGATATTTCACTCATGATGATATCTCAAAGTATCACATGATATTGAATTATCACTTGATACTTCAAAATCACCTACCTCATGAGGTGGGTGATTTTGAAATCCAAATATCAAAAGAGAGATTGGTGAAATATTAAAAACTTCTTTGCTTGCCTTAACTATCTTCTCTCTGTCGTAACTGCCTTCACTTTTCCAAATCACCAAAATATCAAGTGATACTTCAAAAACTTGAAGGGGGTAATAAAGTTTGAATGATGATACTTAGGGAGGTGATATTTTGAGTGATCCATGATATTTGGGTTTCCAAAAACATTAAGTCTGAATCCCCTCATTATGGTTTTTAACAAGTACAAATTTTTTGAAAAAAGTTTTTATTGTTGCATGGCACATCAATAGATATAATTTATATTAAGATTTATTTATTTTTTATTATTTATTTCTAAATATAATTTATTAACATAATCAGTTTATATCTATTTCTATTTACTTCAATATACTTCTACTCATTATTATTATTAAAGTAGTACGAAAATTTGTAGCACTTCCCATCTGGCTATGCTTTCCATATTAGGTATTCCAAACGGTAATGCCAAATGTAGATAATCCATATTTACATTCCAAAATCTTGTTTCCTACGACACAATTGGTGTCATCAATATCAACTTAATATGGAATTGTGTTGTGTAGTATAATCATAAGATATTAAATCTTCAACACAAGTCAAACAATTAGCAAAACAACCAAACAGATCCCTATGATTAATAAAGCAGCTTCAAAACGAATGAAAATGTAATCAAAACGAAGAAAACCGATAATCCACAAATTCAACGAACGGTGAGACGCACCCATCCATCCACCTATTAATGAATGAATTAAATCAATATTACATCCATCTATATAGTCGTTCATTCATTCATTCCTTGGCTGGTTGGTACGTTTATCCAAAAGGCTCGAAACGCACATTCCATGAGCACAGTTGGCAGACCACGGAACAGCGACCGGGGGTCATGCGCGGGGCATGAAGCGAATGCTGCTCACCTTCCCACCAGCAACGGATTCACACCCACCAGCACCAGCACACAGCGCCGATCCATCCATATCATAGTGCTTTCCAGCGCGCATAGACAATGGACAATGGATCTGTGGCCACTACCATAAGCGTCACCCCTTGCGGATTCACCTCGGCACTTTGCGGAATGGTGGCGCACGCTGTGCCGACTGCAATGCAGCAGCGGACCTTGGGGTTCGCTGCTGGTGTGGTGGTTCTCATGCTAGCCTGGGATCCGCCTTTGATCGGTCCCCTCGCAGGCCTGAACTTCGACTGGTCCAATTGGAATTCCTCTGACATACGGCCCATGCTGGGAATTAACGAGTGGCCGTGTGATCCCGATAACAAGCTGCTGCAGGCGCAGAAGCTCATCTTGCAGGACGCCTCTGGCCCTGAGAGCTTGGCTTTCGATTCTACAGGGGCGGGACCTTACACTGGCGTTTCTGATGGTCGCATCCTCCGTTGGGATGGAGATGAGGCGCGATGGCACACTTTTGGGGTTACATCTTCCATAAGGCATGTGTAGAGAACTCTTCTTCAGTCGACCATCTTCGCGCTGAATTGAAAAGGGCTCAATTTGAAGAAAGCGGGTTGATGGTGACTGTAATTTTGTAATTGTGCAGAACGGAGGTGTGCGATGTCCATCCACCTTTAGTTCGAAACGAGCCTGTATGCGGTAGACCACTGGGTCTTCGATTTGACAAACACGACAACCTCTACATCGCTGATGCGTACTTTGGCTTACTCGTCATGGGTCCCCAAGGAGGTGTTGCGAAACCTGTCAGTACCCAAGCAGAAGGCGTCCCGTTCAGGTTTGTTAATGATTTGGATCTCGACGAGAATGGGACGGTCTACTTCACCGACAGCAGCTCGCGCCGCCCAAGAAGGCGAGTGATCATCGCAAATTCCGGCTATCTTTTAAAATTAAATCATGTGATTAAATTATTCCTTTCATTATTCTTTTAACATGTGCATAGGAATCATGCTAACTCATGCATGTTGCGGTCTCGAAACTCAGTCAGTGCAACATCGTAACGTTCGAGCAAGATAGGTCCGGCAGAGTGTTGAGATACGATCCCAAGACTCAGCAGACTACAGTGCTGGCGAGGGAATTGTTCTACCCAAACGGAATTGCGGTCTCACTAGACAGCTCGTTTATGCTCCTGTCTCACACATCGAAATCCAGGTCCATGAATTGCTTAATCTCCTGATTCCATATACTTTGTGAGCTCTTTAAAGTCCTCTCTTTGCTCGATCACAATCATAACATCCTCTGTTGTGTCCTACTTAGCAGGATTGGGAAGTATTGGCTGAAAGGACCCAAGCTAGGCACCCTCGAAGAATTTGCTGAAGTTCCAGGCTTTCCAGACAACATCCGGCGAACGAAAGAAGGAGATTTTTGGGTAGCGCTTCACAGCCGCGTGACCAAGTTACAAAATTTTCTTGCCAATCATTGGTACCTTCTTCGGATTTTGTATAGCCTGCCGTTGCGGTTCGATTTTATCTCTTGGCTTACAACGGGCACTCCAGATGCCATGGTCATCAAGTTCAATCCAAACGGTGAGGCTATCGAAGCTTTCGAGGACAGAAAGGGTCAGAATGCAAGGTTACTGAGCTTCGCCGACGAACGGGACGGTGTGTTGTGGATGAGCTCGGTGTTTATGCCTTCGATCTGGACGTTACCTCTTAATGCCAGTGCAGCAAGTCACTTATGAGTGAATCACCCCAATCATGCAGTTGGAATTCATGTTTCAGGAAAACGTGTATTGGATGATGAAGCACAAACTCAAGTGATTTTGGGTAGTTTACTTTTGAGAAGTTTAATGGTTGACAGACAGCGACGAGTCCTCGTGTGACTCATTCAGCTCTGTTAAATCAGATTTTTGTAAAAAGAGTTGAGGATAAACGTCAACCGATTCATTTGTGGATTCAGAGATGAAATTTGCAAAACTCCACAGTCACTGAACACAATTGAACTCACCCTTGCAATGGTGCTGAAGTAATGGGCTCCCTTCTTGCTCTATTCATCTGTTTGAAAATGGCGACTCTTACTACCCACAGCCACATCCCCATGTCCTCTCTTCTGTGCCCTCTTTGCAGTGCTAAGAGCCGAATTATGGACCAAGTATCCAAGTGTGGATAACCTTCAGATGATGAGGAGAGGCTTCCTGTTGTTGGGCCGTCATCCTCGTCTGGAACCGCTGTGGAGACTAGTGGGAGATGCTGAAAGCAAGGTAAAATGGAGGCCAGTTTTTTGGACCCTGTTTCTTTCGCTGGCACTAGCTTTCGTCACGTCTGGAGGAGTGCCACAAGTTGCCATTTCAGCTATCTGTCGAGGCAAGCAGCTGCATTCACAGGTTTGGATCAACTTCAAATTTTGTGGCTGAATCTTTAAGTCCTTCCATATAACTCCAATTTCAAACCCTGTGCAGTTGAGGATTTATGAGCATTATTTAGACCCCATGGACTACACCGGCACGCTAATACCTTGACATCAACAGATACCCCAACTGCAAATGTAATCAAGGTGCGGATTTCATAGATTGCGTTACAAGCGACATTCTTGAGCTCTAACTTCAGCATTCAGTCGGGGCCGCTTTTACGGTCGCAGGACGTCATAACCCTCCCCTTCACCACCCTCTCTCCATGTTGACGAAGCCGAAGCGATGGCCAGTAACATCTCCCACTTCAAATGTATATGGCGTGGAAAGTGTCCTTCAATCTCTCAGGTATTACTCATAGAAGTGCAATCAACCCATCTGAACGCTGCAATAATTTACTAGATTCTTCACAAAACCATGATTACTTAGACAAGCGTTATAGTTTGCTGTTCCTGTGAATGAATTGCACTGTGAAATAAAAGTGCAGGGCATATTTATTCTGAATGTTGCCCTCCACGCCCTAAATATGAAATCCCTGTGATTGATGACTCAAAAAAGTGAATTTCACACTAGTTTTGATTGCACAATAAAGTCATGATCTGTGCAGCAGTCTGCTATTGCTGTTATTACAAGCATCATTACCAGGGAAATGGAACCTTTATGACTGCATGTTTCACTGGTTGAGATTCTATAGATCAGACTTTCATATTAGTAATGCACTGAGAACATTCAATCAGCGTCTGTCGTGCAGTTCATAAATCCCAACCAGCCGGGACTTGGGGCAGGGACATAGGGGTTAAGCACACAATGTGTATACGCAGACATGGGTTTTATAGAAAGTAGTGACCAGTTTCTATTTGTGCATTAAAATGAGTGGCCCTGGTGGTAAAATAAGTACAGTTAGAGGCCTGTCAAGGAATTATTGATGAATTCTTAAAAGAAATCTAAAAGCGTATCTGTCCCAGTATTACCAAGGATCATCGAAGGGGCAGAAGCGGATTGGCAGGCAACCATGCCGTTGAGAAGCTTACATTATGACCTTTCCATGTGAGGAACAGAACATCCTCGTCTTCATCCTTACGGAGACCCCAACAGCCTGAATGCTCCCCAAGCATGAGCTTGTTTTCGGTCACAACATCCTCACTGAATGAAACCATGTGGAATCTGGCTCTCTTCATGCGTTGAACCCATCGGTCCTTTGCCTCCACTCGCTCAATTCGATGCTTCCCCTCACACGCTATCAAGTTTTCGATCTTGTTGGCCACCTCGTCTTCACAATGCAAACGCTGCTGGCATTCCTTTGGCAGTAAAGTGTGCAGTGCATCAAACGGTATCCAAAAATAATTAAAGGCGGCCTTCAATCTCGTTACGAGTTTCGGTGATGTCAGACTGGCATCATCCTCCGTCAAAGTTACAATTGCTGGGTTCAATTTCCGTATAAAGTATAGAACTTCTTCTCTTGGGCTTAAGGTTGACAGCTCTGTGCATTCATCAGTCACATAGTGTAATCTAAACAGACAATTCACAGCAAGAACCTCCCCTTCCCGTATTCCTATCTTCGAAACATCCAGTTTTTCAATATCCTCGAACAGCAATTGATACTCAAAGGGAACATTTTTGGAGCGTGCAAATTTAGCCAGACGGATGATGAGCTCATCGTATGGGACATCAAGCAATGGTGGGATGGGAGCCTTGGAGACGCACACTGTTAGCCGCAGCTGTGGTGGGCCTTCATTTCTCTCAGCCAGCGACTCTATCAACGTAGGCCACTGCATACAGTGACTAATGTTCAAATCCAGGATATGCACCTTCTCCTTCCCCTCAAAAGCTTCAAGTATTGCCCCGTTCGCTGCAATAAAACCAAACCGGTACCAGGGCATCACATCTATGTAGTTTGTGAGCTCAAGCACGGTCTTCAGCTTTCGGCTCTTCGTGTGAGGGTTGTCGTTTCCAGGTAGTAGATGAGGCGTGAATTTCGACGCTCTCAAAATTAACGCCCTCAAAAAGTGGGCTAACAGACGCTGGTTTGGGTCACCGTCCGCGGCAGCAATGTTGTTGATCACGAAGATTGTCTGCTGCGCGTATGTTATATCACTAACCTCAAGAGCAGTGGCACATTGAACTAACAGCTGCTCCATGGTGTTCAACTCCCTAGTGCCCATGACACTTCCCACTCCTCGCACCCCAAGCACTTGAATCCGTTTCGCCTTCTCCTCTGAACGCCTCCTCTGCTGTTTCTCCAATTCTGCAGACTGTGGAGGAAGGATGTATTTTGTTGTGTTGGATAGCATGAAGCTTTCCAGGGCTTCTCCCTGAAAAATTGGAACTTGTCCCGGCTCTTGTGGACACTGAATGGGGTCTAAGGAATATTCCTGCTTTCCAACTATGGGCATCCTCATCATGGATCTCATTTTTTTCTCAGCTGGTGGGTTAACCTCAGCTTCAGCATGCGTGCCGCTGCTGCTGGCAATTTGGACTGGCATGTAACCTTGCCTTGACGTTTGCATGTTCAAAAACTTCGATGCCATCTCCCCCGGACTTGTTGTCGACTCGGTGAAAGCATCGTGTGCAAACTCTTCGCATTTATTCCACAGCAATTCGGGTTTAACTATTGATTGAGGAGCTCCACCCAGATTACTTGACAACCGAAACAGGGAGGAATCGGTGTAATTTTCAATTGACGATGAAATACCAAATCTATCTCTGGACATTATGCTCCGCGGCCTCTGGTCGGAAGCCAGACAGCTAAGGGGCATCATCTTGTGGGACTGCAGTTGCATCTGGTTCCATAGAATATCGCAGTCGGAACCAAGAGGATTATTATCCATTCGACAGTTTTGAGAGCGAAGCGCATCGAGGTGTGAATCCAAATCTAGTTGCGATGCATCTAGACTTGCATCAAACACTGAGCTAGACAAGCGCTTATCTGGAGTAGCTGAAAATCCAGTGCTTTCGTGCTCAGCTTTACTTGATGCATTTGAGGTTTTTGAGTCTGTATCGTTCGAGAGTCCTTTCTGGTGCTCCATGTAGGCGCTCACGAGTATCAGTGAGAAGCTGTCCAATTTGAACGACTCCGATGAATGCTCCTCTACGTCTGCGCCCACCTCTCATGAACCATCCATGGCTGGAGCACACATCTCAAGCGATGCAATCAACAGCTCTTAAATGCGCACTGCCTTGATTTGTGTGTATATGATCAGGTTTAATAAGGCAAGAGAACCCCGCTGACCACCCTAAAATCACTTCTGCTGGTTTAGTCTTCCTCAGATTTGGCGCCATCCTCCTGTCAGGCGGGAGTGACATAATCTTAAATGTCAGCAGTGTTCATTTGCAAAAATAGACAAAAGCTTACACAGTGCAATCCATTTCTTTTGTAGCTTCTCAAACGCATTGTCCACCCAATCAGAATGTAAATTGATGAAATTTCTTGGGGAAAGTCATTACAATGCAAATGTAGCTCAATAAATTCCCAAGTGCTAAGGTAAAGGGTCAGTGTATATGAGCAGGCCAAGGGCTGGACCGTTGATGTCACTATCCTGACTCTCATCTACAGGTTTTCCGTGCGAAGAGGACAAAATTGGACAGAGATCGATGTCGCCACCTACTGGAGCAAGACATAAAATTAAGCAACAGCAATGTGCAGGCCTACAACCGTGAACTCGTAGGCGGCATTCACATAAAATGTGTCCAATCAGCAAGGAATAAGATAACCTACCGTGGATGAATGAACCAAACTTGCAACGGTAGCAATCAGCTCCAGCCTCGGTTGGCCCTAGCTGCATTCAAAAGAATGATAAAGACTTGTACAAGCTCGTTACAGACCCCAACTGTGGGTATTGCGTCAATACAAATATTACCTCATCATCAGACAATTCGAAAAGTGTTGCAGTGTTTTCGAGCAACCACTTCTTCCTGCCCTCTTCTGCACTGCGGGGACCAATACCCTCGTACAGTGAAGCGTGCAAGGAACTAATTCATCATGATGAATCGTCAGTACAAAGAGGTCCACGTTGCAGTGTAGCAACACTTTGATAACTTATCCTCTAAGTTTCCGAGTCCAAGGCCGATGCCATGAATGTGCGTAAGCCACAAATTGGTTTCGTAGGCACTTTCCCTGTTTACAAACTGGAATGCCGAAACATCCTGCAATAGAGCTCTGGCGTCGGAACTCTCAGACTCACCAAGGTCCACCTCGAGCTACAGTAGTGACTCAAACTCATACGACAGCAAGCGATTAGAGAGTAAGAAACCTACTCAGGATGAACCTGAAAATCGCGTCACTGAATTCCACAAGAAAATGGAAATTCAGGTTAAACAATGCAAGGATAACTTTCTCCTAGGACACTACTTAATAGAGATCTAATTCCAGGAAATACTTCATGAAAAATAATGTGGAACCAGGGTGTTGTGGGAACTGCTACCACTACCTCCACGAGTTACGCAGCAACATATGGAGCATCTAAAGGCCTGTTGTTCATGATGGGGATATTTCTGGGAATTCTGGGGAACTCTGAAGTGGAAAGTCTCGAAGAAGAAATATCAGATTTGGTTGTCACAATTCCCAGCAACAGTTTAGCTACTCTATTAGGATTGAAAACTAAGACTACCAAGATCTAAATGTATACGAAGTCGGTTTGTAAATAGGTTATCGTAGTTCCCCTAACCTCAAAGAAGACCAGGGAGAATACTCAGTGCTTAAAACTAATGATCACAAGAACGCACAGTGACGACCGTCTGAGAGTGATATAGCCACCGTCGCTTTGAGCTCACGAAACCGCCGCTACTTTCACCCGAGGACCAATCACCATGAAATTCGTAATGTGGAGTGACGATTTGGAAAAGTTTGGCAAGGGTAGGAAATCGTGTTATCAGCTTCGCCGACTTCACGTTTCTGACTCCAGCAGAAAGTCCATGCCCGTTGCATTTTGCAGTGTACATGGAAGACTACAGTTTTGCCACTAAAGAGTGAGAATTAAATTCTCATGAGAAGCTGCAGAATGTGTTTGCAAAAGCTAGCGCCAGTTGCAGACGATAAGAAGCTGCATTACAAGCTATCGAAATCCCGGCGGCACTGACGCAGTCCTCAAAATCTCCAACCAGGAACCTATCACGAGCGACCCCTAATTGTCAGTTCCACCAAACATCAACAACGATCATCGTTTAATTAGGAAAGCTGTTAACACTAGGACGAATCTCTTCTACTCCTCTAAAAATCACTACGAAGATACCGGCAACGTGCTCAAACCCAGCGACGTCTCCATACACGATGCTCAGACACACACACACAAACACAGACACAGTGGAAAATACAACTCTCATAACCAGACTGGAGATGAAGGAGAAGCAAATCTCTTCCGAGGCTCATGCAAGTATCGCTGCGACCGCTGGACATATAAAATGTTCTGTGTGTACAAGTCCCAACTTCTGGGGGCCGACTAGATCAAATTTGGCTGCTTTCACCATGTAATAGAATAATCACAAGTGTGGCTGTCTTCGCGGCTTTGGCTATTGCATGTTAGTTCCTACTGCTTTTCAACACAAACGGAAAAACTCACGCTCACAGTTTCTTTACCACTTTCTACAATTGCTCAAATTTCCACCTTTCTTCACTTCAGGTGAAGTTAGATGGCTCGCTGGCTTCAGCTTGTTGCAACAGCAGTCGCAAGGTTCCGAACTCAAACTGGGAGCATGTTCGAGGCAAGTAAAAATAAAAAGAAAATAAAAAGAAAGTTTATATGGCGATAAGACCATGTAGTCTGTGGCTTCAACGGCAAAAGCCTGCAGCGTATCTCCACCCCGCACGGGTCACAACCGACCACATCTAACACTGCTACTAATTGTTACTGATATCCTTCACTGTTTCATAGCATTGTTTTTACTGTCTTCACTGACACACTCAGAGGTTAGAAGACACACAAACTTCTTGACTCACAACGAAGCCCCATTCCAGGACTGCAGAGAGATTGTCTAGTGGGGGTGTGTGTGTAGCTGATACTGATGAGCTCCTTTACAACTCACTCCCGATGCCCTGCAACTGGTTGCGGCAGCTACGGCCATCATGTTGAAAGCGCTACAACGCTAGTGCATGCAGGAAACCCACTAGTTCGTGGCTAGCTGGCACTGTCATTCTGTGCAAGCTTGATTGGGTATTCCCAAAAACAACATTCTTTCTGGTCATCAATCAGTTCCCCACAGAATAGAATACCAAATGCAACAAAAATAAATAAATAAATAAATAAACAAACAACTTTCATCCACAGAGGATACCAATCCCTGGAGTTGCTCTGTAAAGTAGCTGTGAAGTAAATAGAGCGTGAAGGAGAGAGCAGGAGAAAGGGAAGGCAGCAAATAAAAAGTGTTTGTGTTTGCTCAAATTTCCACCTTTCTTCACTTCTCCTCTTGCTGTTGCTGGTGCTATTGCCATGGGTGCCGCATCATTGACGCCACCAGCTCAGCTTGAGTTAATGGCACATGTTTCATGAGCCTACTAATGACCCCCCCCCCTGCACAGCATCCGTTTTTATACTTGGCTGGATTTTTCAGGGTTTTTAATAAAAGGGAATTATGCTGTACTTCCAAATTAGGAATGTGTGTATTTTTGCAACCATTCTTTGTTTTCCTCTACAAGTTCTGTATTATTCAGCGTGATTTTTTTAGTGTAGAGTAGGTAAAAGCATTGCCCTTGGCTGCTTATGCTGTTGTAGTCAAATCCACTCGGTTGTTGATAGTATCAAATCTTTGGTGTCTCTATGTCCATTTGCCCTGCACCTTGCAGCAGTTTCCGAACTATTGGAAAGTTTTTACTTTTTGTTATTAAGACCTTGGAAGTAATAAAAAATAAATCATTTGATGCAATCAGAATAGTTCCTCACAAAGAGTGAAAGTTTGAAGTGTTTCTCAAACTAAGACTTCATTGCAACATACATATTTTATACTTAAAGCTCAAAGCCAGTAATACATAGTGGATTAAGGTTGTGTAAAGAAGAGGTTTGTTTGTTTGTTTGTTTGTCTTCTTAATTTTTTTGGTTTTCAATCTTGATTCCAAAATACAAAATTAAACAAAAAATAAAATAGAAGGAGGACATCTAAAGATATATATATATATATATATACACACACACACTAGGGGCAATAAAGGAGGAGGATGGGTCACAGAATGAATTTCAAAAAATCATGGAATTATGTAACCACCTTCATGTGATTCTTCACCAAATTCTTAGGAGGAATAAAGAAGCTACATTCTCTCCCTTTCTAACCAACTCAATCTTGTCCATCTCTAAGCTGCCAATATGGCACCTTAAAAGAGGAAATTGATAGGATTAGAATTTAAACCTACAACCTCCAATCACAAACTTACAAATCTTTCAAACTTGTTCAATCTTTCAAGCTTGATGAAGTCGACCTCCTTTTAGTTCATTGCCATATCATTGACCCATATCATTTCTTTGTTAAATTACACACCCTCCACCTTTGCTGATCACTCGTAAAAATAGTGTGGTGATGTTGGAGGCAAAGGAAGGAAGAAGGAAGGGAAAAGAACAGTCCTCCTCCTCCTCCTCCAGGCTGGTTGGTGGCGATTCATTCATCCACACACACACATACATATATATATATATATATATATATATATTGTGTGGGGATGGTTTTCCAAGTTGAAAGGGGAGGTAATAATGCTGATGTGGGAACGGGTGGGGTGGGTGGGGTGGGTGCGCAGGGGGGATGTATTGGTGGTGCAACTCCAACACACTCCTACAGGCAGGGCAGGGCAGGGCAGGCACAGACACGGAGCAGGCTGGTGATGGGGAGGTCCTTTTCTACCTCTTTCCTTCTTTCCTTCCTTTCCTTTCATTCTTGCATGCATTGGGAGGAGGAAGGAGGAGGTTGACAGTATGTCAGAGAGATTTATCTATTACTTTACTCTCATGTATATCCATATATATATATGAAGAAAAATGAGATAGAGAACGAAAGGGAGAGGGAGCAGAATACAGAGGGCCCTCCCTCACTCCAACTCTCACCAACACATACGTACGTACGTACTTAGAGACAGACGGAGAGATACACCCACACAAACACACACAGAGGAGGGATAAATTTATCTCGTCCACCTCCTTATCTATATATCTCTTCACTCCTCCTCCTCCTCCTCCTCCCTCCTCTGCTGCCTGTGACAGTGATGCTGTGGTCAGTGCCTAAAGCAGCAACTCCAGGAGGGTTCCCCCTTGGATTTTTAGTTATTTGTTTACTATATATTTTGCATTTCATTCTCTTCTGAACTGAAGGAGATTCTGTTCCATTGATGGCTTCTGCCCCGTTCATTTGCCCCTCTTTCCCCTCTGTTTCATTTTGCAGTTCTTCCAGTCAGTGTATCTCACTTCACAGATTTGGCCCCCGCTCTCTCTCACACACACACTGTCCCTCCCCCCCAACTATAATCGCAATGCTGATGCTAACACCATGCATGAAATGGATGGATGAAGTGAATGCCTTGTGTGGATGGATGAGCGGATGAATGCAGGGTGGGGGAGGTGCAGGGACTTGGATGCTTGCACGAGGCCATGGCAGAGAAGTGGCAGTGTTAGTGGGACAAGGCCACCACCACCACCATTACCATTGTGAAAAAAGAAGCAAAAACAATAACAAATGACAAAGAAAGAGAAGCATAGCCATCTGTCCAGCCTGCCTTGACTTAGTTATTCTGACTAACTTATCTATATGTTTATATATATATATATATATATATATATATATATCATTCCTCCCACAACTTGTCTTGAAGGAGAAGAGGAAAGTATTACAATTGCAGAAAAGCTATAAAATTTTAATTTGAGGTTGCTAAGTCAGAAACCAACCACTCTTGAAGAAATGTTGACCAAGACAGAAACAAAGAAGAAGTAGAGTACATGAATGACAAGGGAACTATTTATTTTTCTTCATTGTTTTACAACAAAGACACTGGTATTTTTTAGTTTTTAATTTATAATTTTTTTAAAATGATTTATTTTATTTCAAAAAAATTGTAAACAAAAATAAATAAATAAATAAATGTGTTCAATTATTTTTGATTTTTTAATGTAAATATGATGAAGTGTTGGAAAATACATTTATATATATATATATATATATATATATATATATTTTAAAATAAAAATAATTTGAATCATTACATAATAAATATTGAATTATATTTGATGATGAAAATTTACATGGTTATATTTTTTTTAACAATTTTAATATAGAATTAGTAATAAGTTATAAAAAAAATCTTGATAAAAGTTAAAATAATTGTGATTCAAAGTGTATTTAATTCCAAACTATCATACCATGAATAAAACCTAACTAAATTAAATAACATAGTTACTGTAAACTAATTATTACTTGTTTCAAAATAATGAGTGCAAGTCACCAGTGGAATATCAAGCATTTAAAACTGAAAGGGATTTAAATTATTTTTAATGAGCTTAATTTTATCATTTTATTTCTTTGAAAAATTGATAATAAAAAAATCAAAAAGGTTTCCAATCTTAGAAACTCAATATTTTAATAATATAAAATTCATAAATTATACATATATAGTTATTTATTTATTAACATCAAAATAATTCTTGTGAATTTCCAATATTCTGAAACATTATTAAAGATTATTAAATTTTATGAACCTTCAGATTCATCAAGACCGAAATTCACATTAATTGAATCTATAAATAACCTCTAAAATTAATTTGTGTAAAATTAACCTGAATGGTAATTTTAAAAAAAACAAAGCTTTGAAATTTGTTCAAATTACAATATTGAGAACTCTCAACAAATATGGTCTATATTTCACATGAACTACTAACAATCTGATCTCATTAATTTCCAGGTTTTGGATCTGTAAAAATCTAACTTAAAAATTACACTAAATATATGATCGACATCAATGAATGATTCATTCAACCATTTTTCTGGATTCAGTGGACTCCTTACGACTGCCTATTTTTATTTATTATTTATTTTTTTATTTTTAAGTTGAAAAGTGTTTTGCTGCCATCATTGACTTCAAGCATTCCTACTGAATTTAGTGAAGAATTCCTTTTGTCTTCAATCCTTTGTCTTGATAATATTCATGCACACATGCATCCCTCGCTCTCACTCATTCGTTCATCATGTGCAAAGAACCAGTGTGATTAATGATTTGTTGTGCAAATAGTAAACTTGAAGTTTTTCTGCAAGGGTTTTTGCTGGGGGTCATGGCAACAATGAATTTGATTTTGGTCAATGAGAAGGTTCTTTAAGGTTTTTTTTCTTACAACTAATCTTTTTTATTGTGTAGATTTGTTTTAAATTTTTTTTAGGTCCTATGATGATGATGATAATCCAACAACAAAATTGGAAGAAAATAGGGAGAAAGTTTCCTAAAAGTAATCAAATTACCAACTTTGGTAATTATTTTTTCTAAGTAATATCTAAGATGATTTAAAATATTCCTCTTATGAAATGGTCCTACATTTTATGTTCTATGATCATTCACATATATTTTTCAATTTTAGTTTAAAGTAACAGTGTTAAATTAATAAAAAGAAATAAATACAATGTTTGCTTCCTCAATGGACAGATAAGGCAAGGAGTGTAGGGGCCAGTTTGTACAATGGTGAACTCAGGTCCCTTGAACAAAATACATTATTATGACACTATAGTATGTTGAAATCATTTGTCAATTTTGTTTTATTTTGTTTTGTTTTTGTTTTCTTTTTTAATACTACAGTTGAAAATGTAGCTAAGTATGTGATTCCTGTGGATTATACCAGCATAGATTGTGTATCTCTAAGCTCAATGAATGACTGCAAAAATATCAAACTTTTTCATTGCAAAGAACCATCTACATCAAGTGCACCAAACTTGCCAAAGGATGGCTGTACATAAGGCATCACTAGTAAAGAGAAGGAGGTTATATGTCTAAGTGCCAACCATATCAGAGTGAACTCACATCAAACTAACCTTGTGTCTTTATAGGATTGTAAAAAATATTCTAAGGATTCTAAAACTTCATTAAAGCAGCAACAAAAAGTGCTAAAGAATCCTATGAGAGCACACCAATTACTTGTAGGTAAGTCACTTGAGTTTATCTACTATAAAAGCATTTATAACTTTATGGATTTGGATCTTATATCATTCTATCTACTATAAAAGCATTTATAACTTTATGGACTTATTTGGATCTTATATCATTCTAATAGATGACTTTGATTTTGGGCTATAGAGACCTAGCTATTTTTGTTTGATGTATAAATAAGAACATTGGACTTAAGTGGAGGGAATAAATC